ATGTATATGTATTTATGCATTGTAAGTATATTTTTGTATTTTAAAAACCAATAAAAACAAATACATAAAATTGCAGTAAAAATCATATATACATACATATATGATATATATGAAGATATATAATATAAGGTATGGGTATAAATATGGCTATATAATGAATATATAACTGACATCGTCAATCAATTAGAAAACGCACAGCCTTTTGAGCTTTGGTTGGTGAACTCACATCCGTTGACTGCATCGTTCCCAGGCAACTGTGCATGCTCAGAAGCACGCTATCCAACCGGTTGAGCGCTTCCTGCAACTGATCAGCCTGGCAGCCGGCATCTGACTGATTCTCGCGCTCCTGTTGCGCCTGCTCACAGTGGCGACGCAGTCGCTGCGCCGATCGTTGCATCAGCTGCAGTTCATGCTGCGCCAGCTGCGCCAAATTGGAGCTGCTGTTCGCCGGGAACTGATGCGGATGCTGTTGCTGGTGCTGTTGCATCTCTTCCTCGAGATCGTAGGTTAGCAGACGCTTAGTATACATTGCCAGCTTGCTGCTGGGTGAACTGTTGGTGGAGCTCTGTTGCGGCGTATTATTAGCGCTGAGCAGACGCTTGAATGGCTGCTTGAGCAGTGCATCCTTCATGGCACTTAGATTGAGGGCAATGCGACTGGAATTCTGGGTGTCATTGAGAGTTTCATTGAGTGCCGCATCCATGGGTTCCCAATCAATCTCAACGCTGTCGAACACATTGCTTGCATCACAGCTGGGCGGCGCATCCCGCTGCATGTCCAGCCACACGGTCAGACGTCCAATCGGCCATTCCGCCTTCAAGGAACGCTGCTTGTCCACAATGAGGATGACAGTGCGCAGCAGTCCAAATTCATCCGGCGTCTGTGTCTGCCGAAACTCCAGGTGCTGCAGTCCCAACTGGCGGCAGCGTTGCGTCGCCTCCTTCACCATTAGCTGCGTCTTGTGCAGACTCTCCTCGCTGGGATTCAACATGATGCGCTGGATGTCTTCCAGCAGCGTGGACTTTTGCGCCGGAGTCGTCGTCAGGTCGTAGCTGGGCGTTGACTGCTTCAGCTGTTGCTGGGCCAACGCTTGGCGTTCGGTTTCGAGCATTTCGCTGTTGCACTTGTACTTGAACTGTTCCAGTTCGAGGCACTGAAGCCGCTCCTCAAAGTCACGCGCATGCTGCTCTCGCTCCTGTTCGATGCGCGTCAGGGCCGCCCGTTTCTCCGCCTCCAGTTCGTCCCGCAGCTGTTGCTCCTGCTTTTGCAGAATCTCTTGATGCGCCAACTGAAAGTCCACATGGAGCTGCTCCGCTTTGCCACGCTGACTGCAGAACGGATTCGAGATGCGAAAATAGTGCGAGCCGCCAATGACCAGACGATCTCCATGGTAGAGCGGACGTCGCTGCTGCAGCAGTTCGCCATTCACATAGGTCTCGAAGTCCTCGCTGCCCGGAGTCACGTACAGCCGACCCGACCGATCGTGCTCAATGCTGCAGTGCTGCAGCGCCACCAACGGACCGTCCAGCACGATGTCCGGCAGGGAATTCGCCGGCGCACCTGGTGCACGGCCGCGGCCTATCCGAACAATGCCCGGTGGCAACAGATAGAAGAGCGTGCCACTTAGCATGGGATCATCGGTGAGATTCACCAGACATGCTTGCTTCTGTTCGGCCGTTAGCTCTAGTGCGAGTCCTTTGCGCTTGAGCAGTCGCAGCTCGGATTTGCGCTGATCCTCAGCCTCTTTCAGCTTTTCCATCCATGATTTTTGGGCGCGATTTAGCTCACGCTCTCGCTCCGCCAGCTGCTGGCGCAGTGCCTCCACTTCACTGTCATCGACGGACGTCTCGATTATGATTTTCCGCGGCGCCGGCGGATTGTTATTGCTAGCCGAGAGCCGTCGTTGCCTCTCATACTCGTTACGCAGCGACTTCAAGCGATCCACCTCGGCGCGCAGGTCACGGATAATCTTGTCATGTGGCGACTCATTCACCTTCACCCGATTCACTATGGACCGCGCCTTGCACGCATACCGCAGCGTCGCTAGCGTCTCATCCGCATGCAGGCTGGCCGGTGAAATGGTGGCCAGCATCACGGTCTTCGAATTCCCGCCTAGATTTTCCTGCAGGGAAACAGAAAATGAAACACTTTTAATCATAGCTGCTGTTTTGGGTAAAAAATATATAAACTGATTTGTAAAATTGACATTTAAAGCATCGCCTTATTTTAAAAGATAAATCTAAAGAAGCTGTTATTTACATGTTGTTCAACACTGCTTAAGAATACAATATACCTACATACATACATGTATATGTAGAATTTTTTTTTCGTACGTACTTTGTATGCTTGTTTCTATCATTTCAATTTTCCACATGCATAGGTAGTCTTAACCAATTATGACCTCCAAAGATAAGGACTTATCACTGCTGGCAGGAGGGGAGTCGCTTTGACAAACTTTAAAAGCAGACGAAAAGACAGAAGCAGCGGCAACGACAACAGCGACCGTTAACCGTTATCGGCTTGCAGTTAGGAGTGAGATAGCTAGCTTCTAAGTTGTGTCAACAAAATAAACAAATACATATGTACATATATATATATGTACAGACATAGTCACATACAAATGTACACATGCATGTACATACGTTTGTGTATATGTATTTATATTTGTCGGCGTGTGTAATAGACACTTGTTTGATTAACTCTCTGATGTGCATGATACATACCATCGCTAGAATCGAGAAGAAAAGAGAGAAAGAGTGGGAGAGTGGGAGAGCATGATAATCACGAGAGTTTATGTTTGCATAAACTGCGCAGCAGCAGACGCAACGTGGGCGTGGGCAGTTGCGAATGAGCGAATAAGGGAGAGCGCCAAAAACGGATTGGCATTGTGTGTGCACTTATCTACAGTGAGTTGTAAGCCCTCAAATAAGAAGCAAAAATAATTGAAAGGCTTTGGATATTTTTAGAACGAAGGTGTAAATTTAAAGAGGTTTTTAGCGAAGACCAATACGATTTATTAAATATTGTATACTATTTAAAAACCTTCAGCTGACCTCAAAGGTGTCAAACAGCTGAGGGGCCGGTCCAGACTTGCTTTTACTGAGATCACGCAACCATTGGCTGCGGATTAAATTGAGTAGGTGCCACCCCAGACATTGTCACCGAATATATCATTAATGTGTCATGGCTTTGTGGTTAGTTAGTCAGTTTTTTCCATATAAATGTTGCAATTTCGGATTTATTTTTGTCTCAAAACCTGTTGTTAAGGAATACTTTTGCTATATATAGCCTTTGGTATTTGGAAACGAATGGCCGCCCACTTCTAGAAGCATGTCACGACATCGCACACAGAAAGTCGTGTGTACAAAATACTTAAACCACAAAAAGTCGCTAAAAGGTGATATGTACAATCAAAACAGCAAACAACTTGATTAAGATACCTTTCTATGACGTAGGTAGATCAATTAACACAAGCTGTACGCAAATTAAATTGATATTAACCTTTAGTGAAGACAAAAGTTTAAAATTTGTTATTTTACTCATTAACCTATAGAATTTACGTCATTTGATACGAAAGTTCGATCCCCAAATATCTGAATCAAAATGTCTGCTTAAACGTTCAAAAAATAAACCTAAGAAGATGTCTGCAACCTAATTTATGAATCTACATCCATCATTTGTAATTTATACCGTCATTGACAAAGCATGGGATCAATGTTTTGCTTAGCAACAAAATTTCACGCAATTTTTAACCTTTCGCTATATAGCGCAAAGTCGGCATTCAGTCTAGACGGCGATTAGCAACCTATGGCAACATTTGCCTCGAGTTATACGAAGAAAAGTAATTCCAAAATTTCAATCTTAAGTATAGTTATATGACATCAAATTTGGTTAAGGTGACAATTTTTAAAATCATCCATTTGTTTTAGCAACTTAACGCTAACAAGAAAAACTTCCAGCATCAGTTTATGATATTCAATATTTTCCATGCCACAAACAAATTAACACGTCTTAACTGTTTTTGACTGGAAGACGATGAATATAAGATGAATCATCAAGAAAATTAACTAATCGTTTCAAAACCATTTAATCTACGCATCATTTACCAATTGTTTGTTGAATATTGATCATTAAAAAAAATACGCTTTATACCACTGTGCCCCATCTCTCGTGAGTTGAAAAGAAATAGCAATATGTGCTATACTAGCAGGAGCACATGTGTTGAAGCTCAAGGGAAAGCACGAGACGTCGAAGCGACAAAGGCGAGTTTTTACGTTTTTAGCTGCCACTCGACCTTCAGATACTACGCACAACGGCTTAATCAATAGGTATGGCTCTTAGACAAAGAGCTATTGCAAAACAAAATGTATTTCATATCAATATTTTATTAATAATGATAAAATAATATCAGTGCGCAATAAATTCTATGGTCAAGTCCCTTTGTTTATTACATAAACCTTTTTAACCAATATACCCACTTATATATGTACATATGTACAGCAATCAGCCGTATAGAAGTAAGCAAACAAATCGACGCAAAAAGCAAAAACAACTGCTACGCGTCGCGAAACGAGACACGACGACGACGAAAACAAACACGAATCGAACGGACGCGCGAGGGCTACAAAAATGCAGTAATATGGCGTTCGGCTTTCAGTTTCAGTTTTGATCTGACAGCGTTAAGAGCATTAAAAAAGAGTTCTCCGTACTTTAGTACGAAAACAGTGCATTTAAAATCAATGCATATATAAACTGGTTCTATACCTCAACTTGGTATGAAGTGAATATTCAACAACAACAATTCGTTATTTGGTATAAAGTGTAAAACGCTTACGTGAATAGCAAGAGTTCATTGCACGTTATAAGAGGACACACACAAAGAAAACAGAAAAAAGGCAAAGTGAAACGACCTCGCACAAAGTACGCGCGCAAAAGCAACAATAAAACAGAACTAATCAACAACAACAGAAACAAACAACACTAAAGCACAGCCCACATACATCGGCAGTGCAACCTACATAATCCGCCTTTCTAAAAAAATATACAACAACCACAAATATGGACGTTTGGGGAGTATTTGTTGGCGACTCGACGCTGTCTTATGGGGGCTCGATGCGCAACAACTATTACCGTGACTACGAGCAGTTCCCGTATGGCACGTTGGAGCACGCAAGCAGTGCCAGCGCATATCCGGCCAAGGACTCCTACAGTCGAGTGCAAGGTAATTTGAGCAAAAACAATAATCATAATACCTAGAAAATAGGGACAACATCTACAACGCATGTATGTATTTATGTACATACGTACATATGTATATATTTATGCATGCACAAGTATGTCATGACATTCAGCTTTTGTCAAGTCAAAATATAACATGTCTGTAAATTAAGTAAAAAGCGTTAATTGCAAAAATACGCACTGCAAAACATACAAAAACAGCCATTTTTTGCGTACGTATGTACGCACATACATATGTACAGGCGCTTGCTTATTTGCTGTTTATTGTGATTGCCCGCATTATGTGTTGTTTTTGCAAGAATTTAAAAATAGCCGCAGTGTTCTTTCTGTGCATTGTACACATGTGAGAGTGTGTATGAATAACACGCCTTAATTTGCGCACATGCGAAGACATCTATGCGAGTGTGTGTGCACTCGCATATGAAAATTGGGCAATCACAGGGTGCCGCACACATTACATTTATCAAATTTCTCTTATCAGGTGTCACATGCATTCATTTCTGTTTGCACACTTCTGTAATCTTTGTTTACTTTCACTTTACAAAATAAGCAATTTGTCACGTGAGAAACTTAAGTACAGCCATTTAGTATGAATAAACAATGGTTTTACTTAAACAAAGTTTTGCCTTTGTCGAGATTTTCTAAGTGCTGTCTTCTTTAGTGCAAAATTCAAATTTAAAAGCCAAATATTAAAGAGTACAATAAGCAATAAAGAGCAACAAAAGAATTTAAATATAACTTTAATTTGTAAGGCAAAAGAGGTTGAGTCCGGTTCAGCTGAGCTGGAACTGGAACCACTAAGCTGACTACCCCTCGGCTTAAAAAAAGAAAAGGCAAGCAGGTGTTTGATTCCAAAACAAGAAATTGCGGCGCAATAAGTATATAGTATGTATGCATGTGCTATTTAAGCCAACAACCCAAAAAAAAGAAGTAAATATACACATGAGTAATTTATGCATTGCTGCCGCGCAATTGTAATTTTTATAGATTAGATGAAATTTTATGCGTTGGTCTCAGATAAGTCAAGGTTGCTTATCAAACGCTTGACGAGAACAATCGCTAAAATTGCGTCTATATATAGACCGGCAACGATTTAATCAATGAAAAGCAATCTAAATATATATTCATTTATATGTACATATGTATGTAAGTGTGTGGGAGCTCCATTGGCTGTAGCGTAATCAACGGCGGCTTGCCCATTGAGAGCACCCTGTGCGAACCCACATGTCACAGGGTCAATCAAAACATTTGTAAAAACTTGCCGCTACGTGACGTTAACAACGTGACGTCACGTAAGCAGCCGAAGCAGCTGGAAAGGGGCAAAGTGTGCGCGCACGCACGTAGGCCAATAAGAGGCAACGGCCAAGAGAACGAAAGAGAGAGCGCGTGATGTGTTTTCTATATATGTATGTGTATATGCGAGTGTATGCTTGAGTGTTTATGTATTTGTATGTCAACAACAACCTTGCTTGTGCTGTAAACAATATTAAGCAATCGTCCATTTAAATAGATCACAATTAACCAGCTGTCTCTCTTTTTTTGTATTTACAGAAAAATGTAAGCAACTAAAATCGGAGAAGCAGCTGCGCAAGGATTGCCCATTCTGCAAAGAGCACAAGAAACGGCCATTGATCAACTACATGCGCAAACGTGATTCTCGTAAACATCACGAGAGCATCTGCGAGGATGAGGAGGAGATGCACGAGCACGAGTTGGAGCACGAGCACGAAGTGCAACACCAAATGGCGAATCTGACAACTGTTGTGCCAACGCAGCAGAGCTGCAAGGTTTAAGCACAGCAGTAACTAGTCAGATTTAAGAGGAGAGACAGACAGGTGGCATAATAAAAGCCAAAAAAAAAAAAGTAAAATGAAAAACAACAGCAGCAGCAATTCACAATGCCATATATAGTTAGATAAAGACAACAAAAAAAAACAAAAATTAAATGAGAAGAAGCATTGTAAAAGATGCTTTAAGCGCCTGCTGGGCAGACAGCGCAAGTGAGAGCGAGACAACTACAATAATCTACTGCAACTGTACCTATACTAACAATTGCGTGCATTTCCGCCTATGACGTAACACTACCATTTACAAATAGCAGCAGCAACAACAACAAGAACAACAACTACAAACAGCAAATACGAAAACAAAAACAAATAACAGCAAGAACTATTTGCCGTTTTATGTTTTCTGTTTCTGTTTTGCTGTTTAACTTGATACCAATTTATTATACAAGCAGTTTACAACCTTTGTTTGTTTGTTTTATTTTATGCGCATGCATAAAAAAAAATGAACATAGTAATTTAATTGACATAAAATCCAAAAGCCGTCGCCCCGCTTGACTCAAGCGAACTGTGGCAACTGCGAAAACAAAAACAAAAACAATAGAATGGATCGAGGGAAGCAAAATCGCCAGAAATACCTGAAATATTTTTCTATTTTGCGTACGAGACTGAGTAAAAAAATATTGCAGTAGAGCACATTCAATAATGAAGCAAGTTGATTGTTTTTGTTCTTTATTTAGAAACAAGGGAAAACTCTTGTGAGAGAAGAGGAAAAAAAACAATTGATTTCAGTTTCTACACTCTGAAAATTGGGCCAAAATTATTTACAGGAAAAATTATATTTAAAAAGCTTCATTGGCACCAAAAAATATTAAGTATTTTCTTCCTACAAGCGTTTAGCTATATATATATATTTCTTTTTATATATATATAGTTTTGACCCAGACTTATATTTATCCTTGTCTATATTAGACATCCTAATATTAAAATAAACGATTACTCTCGCCAGCAACAAAATGTTTAAGTTATATAATAAATGAGCTTAAATTGAAAATTGATGTATTTATGATATAATTATTAAAGTTTCAGATAGTTATGGTTATACATATACATATACAAGTTAATATTGTTGAAGAATTTAATACTTGTTATTATTGAATTGATTTAATTAACTAAAATTGTTTAAGCAATTCAACAACGTATATATGTATATTATTAACTGTGCAACTAACATGGACATAATGATATTAAACAATGCATTGTAAACGAACATTTAATTATATTTATACTATTGTTGAAATGTAAAAGAAAAACAAAAACATTTAGCTTGCGGGTATCGAGAAAAATTTTGCAAATTTAAAATTTATTATATTATTGTATTTATATTTAAGTCTAATATATTATATTTGAAAAAGAAAAGAAAAACTTTCTAAAAATACAAAAAATAAACAATAAATAAAAAGTTATTGGTATTTACAAAACGAAACAACTAAATGAAATTCTTATTTTGGATGGAGAAAGAGTACAAGGGGGAAAAAAAATTGTTTGCTGTGGAGGGGCCTTTGGAGTGCTATAAAAATACTGGGGTCGTATGTAAAGTTCCTATGAAAAATAAAGTTAAATTATATTGAATTTATTAACAGGAGGAACAGCTTAGAAAACTGTTTGTAATTAAAATGAAACTAAGTCAAGATTTGAGAGCTGTCTGAGAACGTATTTCAGTAAATACGTGAAATGAATAGATAGATAATAGCATAACAATGACCTAGTGGGTCGAGAGGCTTTCAGAAATTAGACCTTGGCTTACATTGGATTCATTGAATCGATCAAGATCTCGCTTTTTGGCAGAAGTATCTTAACCTATTTATGTTATATCGGTAAATCATTTATGGCGTAGTTTTCTATAGTAAATTTTCTCCAGACAAGCGTGTTATTAGCTTTCAAATTAACACATTATTAACTGTAAATCTGTAGACTAAAGTGCCCAGCTGTATTTCTATTTGCCACGTGCGCTTGCCACTTGGCTCACGTAACAGTATCAGATGTACTTAATTTCAATGGAATCTAAAACTTATGATCTAAATATTTTATTAAATATTTGTTAACTAAGTGAACATGCAAACTCTCTCACATAACGGCTAATTTTAGAGCTGAACTAACTATATTTCAAGAATTTTGCGGCACGTCGAGTCGCTAAGAAAATAGACATTCGAATTATTTAAGTAAATGCAAAATTCTTGCGCATCTAGAGGCGGCTTCATAGAAAATATTAGCGAAATTATTTTAGGCATGAAGTTCGATCATGCTTCACATTGCTTTGAATGGAGAAAAATTAGTATTTACTTGAATGAATCTTGTTCTGCTATAAACTCTTAAATCTCTCATTTATGTCCTGAAACCTAAGATTAACACGTTCATACAAGCAGAGATAGATGAAAGCTGAAGATCGCTGCAGCATCTTGTCGTGATTAAAATATTTTGTGTACTCGTGATGATTTAATATACTCTGTTTCTGCCTCTTACATAAATTCTAACAAAACTATTCTACATAAAATGATATCACTGATAGATTAAAGAGGGCTATAAAACTTGGGAACGTGTTATTTACAACTGATTCATTTTGCTTTAATATGAAACAATAAAAGCCATAGAAATACTTTAATAGAAATATATGCTATTGCTAGCTATATATTATAGAAATATATATGGGGAGAAAGAGGGGCAGAAATGACATCACGTGCTATATATTATAAGCATATAGTCATAATCAGAGCACAGTTCGCCTCTACTCAGCTTTTGCATTCAACTTTTGTTAAACAAAAGCAAAGATTGCTTGAAAATAAAGCATTAACGTCGTTATCAGCCCCAAATCGGCATACAGATCATGTATATATATATATATAGTATATAGGAAGTACTTAATTGAAACGAGAATACCTGAGCCAATGCGTCAAACTGAATATGACGCAAACATTTTGTCTGGGCTAAATGAATGGGAATTTCAATATCTGCAGATAAACTGTAGCAGCGAAAAGTCTGGATGTGTAATACTCTAGAAAGGCTAGAAATAAGATGATTAATAATGCGCCAGTTTAGCACTAATTCCATTTAATCTAATTAACGAATCCAATCCGTCTGAGTCGAGCAAATTGCATCAGCTAAATCTTTTTCATTCTCCACGCTTAACCTCAAAGACTTTACTCGCTCAGGTAGGCAAAACTGGAATCTGCATGGGTTGATAATCTATTAAGATTTTAAGGACAAGAGACATCAATATATATTTTATTTTTCTTTGAAGTAAGAGATTTGGTATTTAAAGTGTACTCGAGATTTTTCGCTGCTAGTTTAATAGCTAATGACAAAATATCTTGATCGAGCACCATGTAGTCGCCAATGTCTGTCTACAAATTTCATTTAATTTATTGGAGTTCCCGCGGTTAAGACTCTACGGAAATGTTTTCGTCTCGCACCAGTTTGCTAATGAAAATCGAATTAAAAAGAGATCCGACTCGAAGTCTGGCAACCATTTAAGACAATTTTGCTGCATTAAGGTCAGCGCAGATGAGGTCAATCTGAGTACAGATATGTTTTCTTTAAACTAAATTGACCTGGAACTTGGGACCATGAAATCGTAGTTCATGACAGTATCCTCCTATTTAATTGAATTTTGCAATGTTTTCACTTGTTCCTTGCGAAGTGAATTCAATTCAATTTGATTAAATTTCATGTGACATTTGACACAATTGAAAGAGCTCAATCCAAAGACTTTTGATCATATCAAGTCTCAACTACTTTGAACCGCACTTCAAGTACAGTAGAGCCTCACAGATTAACTACCCGTGACAACAGCAGCAACAACAACAACAGCTTAAGCACATGGGAAGCCATAGAAAAAATATGCAATTTATTCATACAATGAATTTGATTCATTTTAAATTCAATGTTAACTAGTTTGTGCATGGGAACGAATCGGATGGGATGACGAGTGTTAGCTAAGTGGGAAGGGGGAGAGAATGTGCATATAGACTCGTACATCTATACTTATATATCGTATATAGCATGTATATATGTGTGTAAGGTGTGCATGGAGCTACAGTGAGCAGAAGGTAAGGGAAATTCAGTGAAATTGGACCTTTCTAGTAATATTGAAATATATTTTGAAAAGGTTTTAAAAGACTTCCCAATAAAAAATTATATTATTATAATACTTTTAGCTTTTTCTATTTTTTTTAAACTTTGTATTTACCGAACTTCGGGAAACTATTGAAACTAAGTAATACTGTAAAGCAATTATTTACTATAATAACAAACCGCAAAATTCAACAGGTGCTAAGGGCATAAACAACAAGTCGAATTACCATATTAGCGATGCTAAAGAAATTATATATATCTAACTATATACTAACTATATCTATTTACTAGAAACTATATTAGAATATTATTAGAATTCGCATCTCTCACCAATCGATTATATAACATTCCCTCTATTTGTTTATTATATGAGATGAAGCACACTTATAGTATAGTTATAGTATTATAGTAGAATATATTTGTAATTAGCACAAATAAACCAGTTAAGTAGACATCGTCATGCCATAATCATAATATCATGCACGGAAACGTATCAATATTGTAGTAGACCGTACAACTTCTCATATATAGAGCGTTTTCCATTATTGCCAATGGCCACATGTTGTCGCCAAGCAGACGGCACGCGTTTTCAATTAGCCAAACTAGTTAAGCGAATATAATATATATAAATATACAGACTTTTAATATTTTCTAAAAGAAAAAGCAAAAATATGAGTAGCCACAGGGAGAGGGAGAGAGAGAAATAGAGATAAAAAGCCTCGTTTAACACTAATTTGTGATAAAAACAGCGCTTGGAGAAATTAAAAAATATTTTAGTGTTTTTTTTTTTTTCTTTTGTGGTTTGTGGGAAAATATATTGCACACGAAACCAAACACTTTTTCAGATATAAACATTATATGTATGTATGTATGTATCAAATTACATTTATAAACGAAGCCGCAAAGTTTTTTTACAGTTTCAATTCAAGTTTCTAATGTGAAAGTTAACTCCACATAAAAACTAAAAAAAAGGAAATCATAAAAAAAAGAAAAGGATTATACATAGCTCTATTCGATTTGGGTTATACTAAAGCTGACTAGTTCGACAATGCTAAAGCAACTGCTTGCCAAGCTGAAAGTCTCCAAGACTAAGAAATCCAACAGCTCTCAAACGCATGATATGGGCTTACTGAAAAAGTCGCAGAACTGTAAGTTTTCACAGCTATACGTTAATCCAACAGACTAGAATTTTGCTATAGCATATATATGTATGTATATTATAAACATAAACATATTCTAGTGAAACAGGTTAGCAAATATGCCAAAATTTTGCATAGTTGACATAGTTAAATAGTTGCGAAAAATAAAGGGTCTACTGTTAACACGCTGTTCGTGTTTATGACAGACTGTTAACAACATTGCTTAGATAAATTGTCTGTGTTTATAGCTAGGCTATTACTTACAATATTTATAGTGAATGCTTAAGCTTCTAGTAAACTTTTAAATTAAAAATATTTTAGTTTTGGGCTTAGCTTTATTAGTAGTCCTAGGAATTTATTATAGATAGTAAAAAGTTCTACAAAAAGTTGTGGGACTTTTTTCCATTGATTTAAAGTGTAATAATTTATGTAAAGTATTTAAAAAAATAAAATTTTAGTTGAATATTCTATCATTATAAAGTCAAAACAAATACAAATCTAAATTCACTTTTAAAATTATTTTTATACCCTATGCCCTTTAAAAATTGGAAATATATATTTAATTCAATTGTGGAGAGAAGATGTAAATATATTTACCTTGAGTGGGCTAGTACAAATAATATTGCATAAGCAACCACAAGCAAACAAGTTCTGAGCTGATAATATTTAAAATGCTCTTGATAAGTGGAAATCAAATTGAAAAAAAAAAAAAAACTCAATAATCTTTCTTAGCAACTTTTCAATTTGTATATATGTAGTTATGTATGTACCGATTACAAATAATGTAGTATAGAAAATTGGTATATCACATATACCAGTTGCTGATAATTGCAACAGAATGATTGATTGATTGATATATGTACATACATATGTTATAATTATATATGTATGTATATATAAAAATATGTATGCAGCAATCAATCAACCTACTGCAAATATCATTAGCCATTATCAATTATATTAGACTATAAAGAAGGGTATTTAAATATTTTAATGTAATGTGTAACGTCTATAGGAAAACGATTTGTACGATGCCATTAAGTAGTATATAGAATTTAGATATATGCACAGTTTTTTTTTTTCCTGCATAGAAAGTTTTTCTGTATTGCATACACGTATATTCGTTTATATATGGAAAGTTTTTGTTTTGCTGTTTTTAAATATGATTTCATAAAGTGCTAAACGACGTTTGTTCGTGAAACGTTGTTATGCAAATGAGATAAATATATCTGAATGTATTTATTATATTATTATTTGTGCGTATGTTTATATAAATCTAAACTGAGGATAATGCAGTTTCCGCGTGAGCCGTTTAAACTAAATGTGTTTAATAATATTACATGTAAATTTTCATGGAACTACTAATTCTATACAGCTGTGCAAAAATTAGAAGAGAATTCAAAGTTTCTTAAAAGGCCGTATATCTAGCAGCTATAGCTATCTATTAACAAACAAGAAATGTAACTCTCTGCACTGTGCTCAGGGTATTTACTAGTCGAGCACTTCCATGAGGAAAAGCCATATTTGATTTCCTGCGCTCTTAAACTTTATTATATTTTACTATATATTATTGTTATTTATTTTACAGGTCACAAGGATGGCAAGATGATTAAAAAGAAATGTAAATGCGAGCCAACGGCCTGTAAATGTGGCAAGCAGCAGCAGCAGCAACAACAACAACAACAACAACAATATCGCAGCTTATTGCTGTCGCAATTGCGAAGACGAGGCGCTGATAACTTATCAAGTGTTATATTATTCTAGTATAAACAAAATAAAATAAAAATATAAAAAGGCAATAACAAAAATTAACAGAAAGTCAAATTCAAAATGGGTGTGTATAAGGGAATGTTGTTGGGTTTGTTGTTGTTTTTTAAATATGCCGGATTTTTATGACCACAAGCAAACATATACTATATAAGAATATGTATACATATATATATATATATACACATACGCTGGGTACATATTTAGATAACTTGAGTGCTAATGAGATTACACTTAAAGCTATATTTAAAAGTTGTTATGGTTCCCGACCTAACTTATCTATGGAGTGCACTGGAAACTTCGGCAAAAAGACTGTTAAAATAAATACATATATATGAATGTATGTGTATATATACATATATATCATATAGATAGCAAACTTTGATTGCTTGGTCATATCTTAACGAAGGCATGGCCGCATTTGGGATTCGACGCAATCAATAGCTCTTTTAAGGCGCATGATATGGCGCCATAAATTGTTGATTTAGACTTTCAATTGGATTGTGAAGCCTTTACAGGTCTCGAGATATTACCTACTATGAATAACACTCACAAGTAGTTTTAGCCACCTACCAACTACCAGCCATACTCTCCCATGCTCTCTATTCAGCTGCACTTGAGCTGTAGACAAACAATTAACTATTTTGAGGGGTTTACGTGGACTTTGTAATGCCGTTTCTTAAGAGCTTTTGTAACCTTGTCAACGTCTATTGATTTACTCATCGCAATAACACTCTGAGAAGTACATTTATCAATAAACACTCATCATTAGAGAGCTTGTGTTAAGTTTTGTAGTAAATTAGTGTAAGCAAAAATGGAACAGGAGCGGTTTATCCACAAGAGGGTTAAATATTAAAGGTGGAGAAAATTAGGGAAAATTAAATTATTAGGTTAATATTTGATTTTTGATAAAAAAAAAAAAATATTTTAATAAAATTAAGGAAGTTTAAAAAATAAGAAATAATAAAATTCATAGTAAATTAAATATTTAAGAAAAATAAAAGAAACCATAATACCCTGATTTCCCATTTTCAATGGGTTCAGGGTATAAAAACTAATAATAATGTAGAATAATTTATTTTTTTTTTTAAATATAATGCTTATTCTTAATTCTAAAATAAAAAAATATATATTCTAAAAGTTTTTTTAAGATATGATTTTTCTATTTAATTCGATTATCATTTATTTATTTGAATAGTGTAAATATTTTGCCACGCGCTCCTGTTATTATTGTAAACTATAAATATAATCTTATTGCGAGGTCAGTTATGTATTATTTACTCTAGGGGTGCTAAAAATAATGAAAAACTTGTAAGTTTTGAAGGTCGGTCAGTTACGTGAAAAATCACACATTAGACCGATAACAATTACGGACATAATACGACTATAGACGTCTATAACATGTATAGATAGAATTTCTATGAAAACTTGATAATATTTGCTGCAATAATATCTCTCTCAAATTATATGACTTCGGTCAACAAAGTACCAGACGTATTTATGTACATATGTACATTCTCTAAGGCGTATAATAAAGTGAGCACATGCACGTGCTCATTCAAGTACTCTTAGGAATTGGGAATTATAAGGAATACTTTAGTGTGTCCGCCTTGAAATTTGAACCAGAAATACTTAACGGAACGTGGCTTAAGCATAATTTGTTTATATAAAGTCGTCAATTTTTTTAAAAATAAAAACTAAATGCGCATTGACCAAAATATAACAGTAAATAATAATTAAATGCCTATGCAGACCAAAAATTCTTATATATGATATTCTCTTTGTACCTTATACATATCTCGTCTATGACATTTTTTTCTCTATTATTTCAAACCATTCATTAATATTTAGTTTTATGGGTGAATTTTACTAAGTAAGTATAAATGAAGGAGTAAAGAAAGAAATAGTTTTTTTTTAATTAATTTAAAAATAAAATATATAAAATATATATTTTTAATTTTTTTATAGCAAATATATACTTTGAGTATGGAATTCTACATTAAAAATATTCTTATTTATTAAAAATATTTCAATTTACAGTGGAAATTTTCGGCTTTCAATAAATAATTTCTGATTATAAATTATAAATGTAAGCCTTGCGCAGTAAATATGTATTTTTATATATGACAGAAGTGTATATAAAATCAACTCCAAGGCAAAAGTTGTTTTGACACTATTTATGTTTTGTTTTGCAATTGTACTTTATAATATTTTATATGCCCATATAAGAGCAATGTGATAAACACTCCAAAGAGTCTGGTCTAGAGTTGGTCTAATTTGGCCTCCAGATAAGAATACGAATTTAACTGTGCAATAAAAAGAGCAACGAACTGAGGAGGGTTCCAAACTAGAAGTTGCCATTCCATCTATTAGTCAACGATTGCATTGACACCAATATTTTCAGTCATATTTCTTCTACGTCTTGAAATTTTTGCTATCTAAATATTCTAGAAATATGTCTAGGATATCTAATCTTTTTACGTTTTCAATGAAAAAATCTTAATTATATTTTTATTGGGGATTTAAAACTTCCTGCTTCCTGTTTTTTTTTTAATATTTTTTTCTTTGTTAATTTATTAAATTAATTATTTTTTATTTTCCTAAAAAATTTTTCAGTGTTGTATATATATTTAAATATATTTTTGCATCATTGTGAATTTATATATTTTGTATTTAGTATATTATAAATATAGATAATATATGAATACAAAATGTATTATCTATATTATAATTAGATTTTATTAAATGTTATTACTTATTATGTATATTTATTTATTTAATATTTTTTTTATTATTCTTTAATAAGGAAAAACCAATATAACCAATAAGAAAGTTATAACTGTTTTGATTATTATTTTCTTTATAAAGTGACTCATTTATTTATATTCGCCTTTATCTGTTTGCGCTCCTTAATCATTTACAAATTAAATTCCAAAAAATTCCTAATAAATGAACTTCACCGACCTGAATCATATGCCATGGAAACAAATTAAACAAATATCTTGAAAGATAGCTGACACGTGGGAGAGCCCAATAAAAATAAGCATAAAATAAACTATAAGATTAACTCATTATCTCGAGCATTTGGACAACGAAGTCGACCGAGGCGACCTTAGACAAGAGAAGGCAACTCTATACGAAAGGAGATAAAGATGTATCTATAGGGCCTAGTGGAAATCAAAGTCCATTGCTGCAATGGCGGCCGATCAATTTACCAATGGAAAGATTAATGCGTTGGGTCAATGGGGCCACAGATAGAGAATGCATTAAGTAAACCAGAACGAACTATGATAAGCTGATAAGGAAGTGTCTGTTGCAATATTGTATGCATTGCTTCACTTACCCGCAGTAGCCAGGTGAGCACACTCTCGCGATAGGGGACAAATGTGCTGGGCGTGGCATTGCCGCCCACTTTGCGAGAATCGGCCAGCGCCGCAATCACTTTGCCCAGCGTCAAGAGACTTTTGTTGATGCTAACTCCTTCACGTATCCTTTCGCCATTCGAGCCCGAAACACTGATGCGTTCGCTGCCCGCCAAATCGACCAAACTGATTTTGCTGCGACGCGTTTGCCGGAGGGAGACAACGGTGCCGGAGTCTGTGTCGGAGGACATGTCATCACTGCCATCGCTGCTCAAATCGGTCAGATTCAACACAATATTGAATATGGAATGCGAGCGGGAGCTTTTGTCATTCATGGCGGTAGAGGCAGTGGCACGCTGCGAATTGCCCACAGCCAGCCAATTGCGCAAGGCCGAATACGAGTCCACTGAATGGGCACTAAGATCGACGACATATGGCCCAAAGATGGGATGCTCGCGCACCTTGAGAGCCTGCCGCTGCACGGGCGTGTCTGGCAGTGCGGCCATAGCTTGCTGAACGCTCAACAGATCATGAATCTTCTCGTTGTAGATCTCAAAGTAGCTGACCTCCACCTCCACCTGAAAGGAGATATGTATATGTTAATCAAATATAGCTGAGATATATATTTAATCAATCCTCAACCTGCAGCTGCTGCTTCACTGCATCAATGCGTCGGAATAGCTCGTGACAGAAGCGCGGGATGATGCCGGCCTCCACGTGCGGCGCGTTGCCATCGAGCGCCGCATCGTCCAGTCCCTCAATGCCCATCATGCTGTAGGACTTGCCCGAGCCCGTCTGTCCGTAGGCAAACAGACAGGCATTGTAGCCCTCGAAAGCGGTGTCGATCAAGGGCTGAGCTGTGCCCGCGAAGACAGCCAGCTGATCGGCATAGTTCTTGCGGTCCGGATCGCACGAGTAGTAGACCTGATCGTAGCTAAAGAAATGTGAGAAACCAGCAGAGGCATCCGCGCTGCTGCCCGCATGAACGCTCAGTTCATTGTTGCCATGCACCTGGACCACATTTGTGACGCTGGCGCGCTGGCATTCGGCTGCATTCAGTGGGCGCACGCGCACAGCCACAATCATGTTGCTCTCCTCGGCAACGCTGTGAAATGACTCGGTCATGGCATCTTTATCCTTTGCCTTGCTCGCTGATTTTTTGGCGTTATTATGGCTATTGCCAATGTTGATGCTGCTGCTGCTGCTGTGGCACGGCGTCGTCTTGCGATAGAGCGAGGATGGCGTATAGCAGGCATTTAGTGCCGTTGGCCTTGGTTTCGGTGTTGCAATGCCGCTGCTGAAGGCTGTATTTAGGAGTTGATCTGCTGCCGGCTTCTCGGCACTGCGTTTCGGTGTGCGTGTCAACACTTTGCGTCTGAGTCCAGCGGCAACTGTTGCAGGAGTTTTGGTGGCACTGCCACTGGCACCGAAGCTACCACGCGCACGTGCTTGAAATTGATGAATACGTTGCTGCACTGGAGTGCTTTTGTTGCTCATTTTGGAAAATATATTTATATACAATCACTCAAATAGACTTATTGTTTAAACAAAGGAAATTGTTGTTAAGTTTCGAAAATAGCGCGCGTCGTCGCGTCGTTTGTTGTCAATTTTTTTCATACTAATAATGTGTGAGTATCGATAACAGAAGTCAGGGCTGACACATAATATCTACATGTGTGTTTTGTAAACAGATATCTGGAAGCATCGGCAATTATTTTTCAAACTCTTATCGATTATTGACTTGCTTTCTAAATACTTGTATAAATAAATTTATATTTATTACATTATAATTTGATGTATTGATGTTTATTTCACATATATGACAATATTATTTTCATATTATTTTAAGTAATTGAACAATTGGGCTGAATTTAAAAGGAAAAGTGTCAAATTTATTTTAAGCTCAATCGAATTTATACAATATAAATAATAATAGAATGCACATATGCGCGCAAGTCTATACATTAAGTACTTTTCATTTATTTATTCCTTAATCTCGTCTTAGGTGCAATTAGAAAAGACCGCTACAGTACTTTGACATTTTGAATTTGCCAGTGCTGCCTGGCGTCAACTATTATCGATGCTAAGATAGCATCGATACTTTTGCGTTTGTTGTTTTGCGTTGCACTACTTGCATGTAGCCGACGTAGACAAAATACAAAAAGAATTTATTTGAGATTTAAATTGTTATTTACCAAAACTGAAAATCGAATAAGCTAGTAAACGCTGCTACCGCCACCATACACTAAAACTGTAAGTGTTTCAATCTACCATAAATATTAAATTCTTTGATAAGAACTACCTTGTTTTGCCCCCGCATAGACGAACGCTCCATCGATCAACTCAGTCTGAGTACGTATAAATAAGCGCGTTTCTAAAGCAGGTTTTGCATTTGTAGCAAAACAGTGCAAGCGCACGTGCAATAGGAAGCCATTCAAAACGACATCGACCAATAATAAACAAAGCAAGCCAGCATGTCCCAACAACCTGTTGCATTTCTAACAAGACGCGAAACCTTTAGCGCTTGCCATCGCCTGCACAGGTAATAAATAATAATAAGTGAATTCAATTACAATTGAACCAATTGACACTGCACTTGATATTAATTTGCTAAGTAAATTTGTATCTCCTTCGCATTCACTCTACCTCCCTCGCTCTGTGGCAGTCCTCAATTGAGCGATGCTGAAAATTTGGAAATCTTTGGCAAATGCAACAATTTTCATGGACACGGACACAACTATACAGGTACATCTGCATATACATGTATATCTATATTTGTCTACATTATAAATGTGTTTTAATTAAATGCGTGATTAGATAACGATTAGCAGTAGCAGCAGCAGCCCTTCTCATATGTCACTTACTCTGATTTGCTGAAGCGTTAACCGCAGGCATTGGAAATTCGAGATGATTTAAATGTGTTTATGCCATATGGCCAGACCTTGGCCGACAAGCTCGCTTATCAACCCATGTTCAAGTTCAACAATCATTAAATTTATGTTTTTAGAGCAAGTGGCAAAGTAATTCGAAATTATTGCTATTTTCATTGAAACATAAGGAAGCTGTAGTAATTCAGTTTGCACAGATAGTGGTGCAAAGTCGTGGATTTTCCTTTATGAGGACAAATAGATTACATAAATTATATATATTTGCAGAGGTTTATAGGTCCTTATAGGTAAGGGGCTCTGACTTGAATGAGAATATAAGAAGAAAATCTATAGATAGCTTTTTTAACAGCATGTCATATAGGTCATATACTTATAGTTTGGACAGTCTAAATAATTCTTTAAACTTAACTTAACTTGAATACTGAAAAAATATATTAGCTTTCTGTTCTGCAACAGCAGACTTTAATTAGCGAAAGCTGACTAGATGAATATAATCAGAAAAATCGATATATAACTTCAAAAGAATTTAGACTTGTCAGAGGCTATATAAAGGAACCTTTCATCAAGCATCAAATTCAAACTAATCCAAAATTCTGTTCATATAAATATTGACCATAATATAAATCCTGATGCTAACTGAAGCTCTTATTATTCTTTGCTTGTAATATTCGTTTAATTTTATAATTTGCCTTCTTACTTTCTTAGTGGAACTAACTGTGCGTGGTCCCATCGATCAGCGAACCGGCATGGTGCTTAATATAACAGAATTGAAGGATGCTATTGAGACGGTGATTATGAAACGTTTGGATCACAAGAATCTCGACAAGGATGTCGAATACTTTGCCAAAATTGTAAATATAAAAACATATCTAATGTGCTATATACTAATCTGTAAACTTATATACATACAGCCCAGCACCACGGAGAACTTGGCTGTCTATATCTGGGACAATATACGCACACATCTCAAGAAGCCGGAGCTACTGTATGAAGTGAAAATTTTCGAAACGCCAAAGAATATAATTACCTATCGTGGGCCATACCAATTGAATGGACTTTATAGTGCAATAAATAAGCGTACGGCACACGATTCGTGCACCAATATCTCATCGGATTCAGATTAACTGAGGGAATACTTTCGAATTTCTATTTCGTTTATCTTTCTTTCGACCAATGCTCAGTGCAGCACAAAACTAAAATTGTGAATTTTTGCACATAAATAATATGTTTGTAGTTATTATCAAGCGAGTTATACGATTTACAAAGTATATACACTTATACACTTATAAAGACAATATATGCGCATAACATTATTTTAGGTACTCAAATGGAATTAAATAAATATTGTAAAAAAAAAAATGATTTATTGATTTTTCTGCAAGTGATTTATTATGTAAATTTAGTTTACTTCATTTATTAGCTCAGTACATTTCATATCATTATCATATATAATTATATAATATATTTAATTTTCTAATAATTTAATTGCTCTTAAGTAGATTTTTAAATGGCAGCTACAAACTTTTTATTATTGCTCTCTCTTGTTGAGCGGCCCCGAATTCACTATATTTAATAAAAATTGTTTCAAGTTTGTATAATTTATTTCATAAGTGATTTTTGGTAGCATTAGAGATATACAAACACATATTATTATGCGTTGCTTAGGCTTTAGTCTTTAACACTAATTTATATCACGTTGTCTATGCTAAACGCTGTTTATAATTTTCTTTGAAGAGTTTACAGAATTTTGCAGTTGGAAATGGTATAAAAATTGCTTTTGAGATATTGCTTGATTTTCTTAATTTTTATTTTGAAATTATTTTTATATTTAAATAAATGGGTAATGAATTTATATACTTTTTGATTGCGAGCAAAAATTAAAAAGATTTACAATTTTATAATTTTTATATATTGGATTGGCAGTAGATATCTTAGCAATTATTTAAATATTCATGGAATTATATTATAATTTTTGTATGCATGTTTTATTTTATTTAATAACGAAATATATGCTCTATAAAGACTTAGTGCTATAAGCTCTCAAGTTATAGAAATAGATTCAATATTCTGAGATCTGCGCATATATCCATAAGAGCTATGTTTCATTATTAAGCCATGAATTTAGGCTACATTTTTTTTTTAAATACAAAAATGGAAAATAAGCAATATCTCAAGAAATTTGAATTTAGACAGTTTTAATACACCAACTTCCCGTTGAGCAAACTAATAGTTGTCAATACTCACATATGTTAACTAATAGGATAATATATGATCATTCCTAAAATATGTAAGGCTTTAACAGATTTTCGTACTTAACATTGACATATGATCATAGATGTTATATATTCTGTTAATCTTGAACTGCTTTTATTATGTTATGTTTACTGTTATGGTATTTGACATATGTTATTATGAACATGTAACATATATGTCGTTTAAAGATGTGGTTTTGAACATTTGCATTATCTGGCATTATCTTCGCATATAAACATCGCAAAAATATGTTAAGCATTTATACCTAACATAATATTAGTATATGATCATCCCTTAACATATATTAGTCTTGAGCGGATGCTAATCTATAACATCTCATTAATATATGTTCATTTTTAACATATATTTCACGTTACTTAACATATATTAACATGCCGTTAGCATATGTTTATCCGTAATATATATCTGTTAATTTGGTATTTTTTAATTCTCTGTAAACTCTTCGTTTTCCTCATTTGTTTTCTTGTTACGTTTCAAATGATTCTCGCTGGAATAGTATAAATAGAATTGATAAGAGCATTCAAACTCTTAGCGCAAAGCCTTTAGGTCATTGTCGTAATCCTGCATGTATAAGCTGCAATAGATGTGCCAATCTTTCGAATCTGTGGGATCAGCAATTGTTGGTATATATATGTTTTGTTAAAGGCATTTTTATACTTTACTTTTGAACCAAATCTAAGGTAGCAAACTACGGGGATTAGTAGTGTAGTGTTAGTAGTACAAATTGCATATGCAGGCATTTAGTATTATACTTAGATGGCAGCTGGGAAACAAAAGACTCTCGAACAAAGGTTACATTCATCATTTAAGGCAGTAAGATATTCAGGTACCCACAAATGGCTCTCAATTCAAATAATATAGGAACGTAAATTACTTTTACAATTTTCAACATTTGGAAGTCCGAGTCGCAGTGAGTCAGCTAGAGCATATCACAGTCTGTGTATATATATGCACATGGGGGAAAGGGGAGGTTCAAGTAGAAAACGAGTTTCGTTCGAGAGTTCCTGTTTCGGCAACTGATCAGCGGTTTAACAAGCAGTTAGTCTACTGACTTTTAAAGTTCTCAATATGGGATATGTGTTTACATATGTATATATTACACTAGGTCTATATAGTATACACTAGTTGCTAGGTAATACAATAGAATTACTTCAAACATAGCTTAAACAATATACTTTCTTTTTTCCAACAGCCTTAACCTTCAGTTTCCAAAACCAACAATAAATTAGCTACAATTTGACAACTAGTTCAAAAAACCATGTGATGTGCTCTATGATCTAAAAATACGTATTACAATTATCAGCTAGCTAAAGCAATTTTCGCTATTTATATTTGACTTATTTGTTAAAGTTTGTTTTTTCTTTTTTGGTTACAATTTACGCTTTGGATCTGACATGGCATACGTACTTATGTCTTTTATTTGTATTATAGATCTTAGATCGTGTTACGCAGTGTCTTACCTGGATTTCGGATCGATATGAAGGGTATACCGAATTCGAATTCATTCTTTGGCCAATACTTGAGCAAGGGCTGACGCTGCGGCAGCTCCGACTCAACATAGAAATATGCGAAGAGCACCAGCACCGTATAGGCGGCGATAAATATGAATATATGCCAGAAGCCGTGCAGATAGGGAAAATTGATCGAGGACCAAGCCTCGCAGAACATTCGATCGTTGATCCAACAGAACACGGCCACGGCCCAAACTGTTGTCGCCCTCAGGCCGAGGCGATAGACGCGCTGATCACGAACTCTACAGAGGGAAGGCAAGGATTAAAATTTTCTATATTTTTTATTTTATAATGAATAAATGATAATATATGATAGGATGATAGGGATTTGCTTGAAAATGTATTGTAATATGTATTTAAAAAAAAATAGAAATAAAAATAAAATTTAAGTTGAATCTTTGTTATATTTAAATTTTTCAAAATTTTTTCTTCTCCAACAGCTACATATATAAAATGAAATTTTGTTTTCTTTTAAAATTTCCGTATATGTATATATTATATATTTATGATATCCAAATTATATTATTTTAATAGCTCCAAAGCTCTTTAGCTTATAAAACTATAATATATTATTTAAAAGTGCAGAATTAAATTTATATTTAAACAAGTTTTAAGAAAAGAATTCATATTAAATTTAGGTGTAATGCAAATCCATATAAAATCATATATATATATGAATAGAATTGTATTTTAGTTATGTATAAACTCTATGTCATTATATAGTATTTTTATTAGATGCTACCTACAGCAATCACAATCTGATTTATTGTATAAGGTTGTA